CACCGAAAATGTTTTTGCTCTTCATGAATGCTGAAGGGTAGCAGAAGATGTCATGACGTGACAAAACATGTCACTTTGGCATGAGGATTATTTTGAGCTCCAATCACTTACAAGAACTTCATCAGGTACAAGAAAGGTACCTTGGTCCTTACCTTTTTCTTCCTGAAAGCAGGAAGTAAAAGTCTCATATGGAAGAAGTCCTATCACCAAGGATGGGACATTCAGCCCCAGCCGGTTTGGCTCAGCGGTTAGAGCGTCAGCCCTCAGATTGAAAGGTCCCGGGTTTGATTCCAATCACGGGCACATACTTCGGTTGCAGGCTGGCCCCTGTGGGAGGCAACCAATTGATGTGTCTCTCACATCGATGTTTCTCTCTGTCTCTCCCTCTCCCTCCCACTCTCTCTAAAAATCAATGGAAAAAATATCCTTGGGTGGAGGATAAAAAAAACAAAAAGATATGGGAAGTTGAAGCAAAGAGAATTCTACACAAAAACACCTTGCTAAAATATTTATCTTCCTTTAGCCTCCCATCTATTTTACTTTTCTACAATTGCCTCTCTTTCTTCAACCTAGTATAAAACCATTTAGGTTTTGTCACTTCCTTGGGTCTTCATTTCCTTATGAGGGCGCCATGTCACATAAACCTTATATTAAATGCACTTTTATGCTTTTCTCCTACTAATATTTTTTGTTTGTTTGTGTGTGTTTTTTTGTTTTGTTTTATGGTTGTTGTTTTTTTTGTTTGTGTTTTTTTTTTGCTAATATGTTTTATGTCAATCTCATTCTTAGGCCCAGTTGAAAACCCTAAGGGAGTAGAGGTAAAATTTTGCCTCCCCTATAATGATTACACAGTGACCCTTTCAAAGTTGGAAATGTAAGGAAGATAGTGCTCCTTTTGCTTGAATAAGAGCATAAAGTGTCCTGGAGCTGAGAAAAAGGCAGGGGCATTAGTGTGGGGTGGGGTGACATAACCCTCTGGGGCAGGGGTCCTCAAACTTTTTAAACAGGGGGCCAGTTCACTGTTCCTCAGACCGTTGGAGGGCCAGACTATAGTTTTAAAAAAAACTATGAACAAATTCCTATGCACACTGCACATATCTTATTTTGAAGTAAAAAAACAAAACAGGAACAAATACAATATTTGTATTTGCATGTGGCCCGCGGGCCGTAGTTTGAGGACCCCTGCTCTGGAGTCTTCTCATTTTTAAGAATGGGGTCCATGTGGTAGGATGGTTCTGAGGGCAGTTTATTCAAAGTTACAAGTTTACCTTCTACAGGGGTAATGGCAGATGATGTCAATAGAGTCTTTCATACATGAAAATAGAGACGTGTGCAGGTTACATTTCCATTCAAAAAGCCAACTTTTTGGCCCTGGCTGGGTAGCTCAGTTGGTTAGTGTTGTCCTGACACACCAAGGTTGTGGATTCGCTCCCCAGTCAGGGCACATACAAGAAGCAACCAATGAATGCACAAATAAGTGGAACAACAAATTGATGTTTCTCTCTCTCTCTCTCTCAAATCAATAAAAAAAAATTTAAAAATCCAACTTTTTAATGCATCTATTGTTGCTGCAGATGCTGAGAAACAAACTGGTTTAACACAAATACTTGGAAATATGAATTAACAGCAGAGTGAAGGCTTTCTAAAGCAAAGTTGATAAGCAAGCTGCAAGCACCAGCAGTGCCCACAGGGTATTTCAATTTATAAAGCTTCCGGGCAGGTGTTCAGAATCCCTGACCACATCTAGTTGTGCAATGCAAAGTGATAGAGGAGTCTGTGTTCAATCCAGAGTCAGCAGTATAAGGCTCACAACTTTACACTGAACATTTTTTAAAATATATTTTTTATTGATTCCAGAGTGGAAGGAAGGAGAGATAGAAACATCAATGATGAGAGAGAATCATTGATTGGCTGTCTCCTGCGCTACTGGGGATTGAGCTCGAAACCTGGGCATGTGCCCTTGACCGGAATCGAACCTGGGACCCTTCAGTCCGCAGGCTGACACTCTATCCACTGAGCCAGACCAGCTAGGGCATTACACTGAATTTTTGATGGTTCAGGTTACTGATTTGCGGTTGGTCACATTTGTAGATGAATCAATTCACTTGTCCAATTTGTATTTATTTAGAACCCTGTAATGAGAATGAGCATGGCCTATTTGGGCTTGTGGAAGCATACATGAAGTGAGATTTTTTTCCGTGTCATGCACTGAGCTATACCCCACCCTCACATCATCTCATTTAATCCTCACATCACCTCTTTGATGTAGCTATCATTATCTCTGCTACATGGAGGAGAAAATGGAGGCTTAAGGAGATTAAGGAACTCGATCCAGGTCACTTAGCAAACAAGTTGTGCAGCCAAGATTTCAATCTAGGGAGGGCCGCTAATAACCAGTTTGAACTTTATTGTAATACACAAAATTTGTGCAAGGGGCTCAGCCCCCGCCACTGCGGCTTTGTCCGGAAGCACGTCCGGTCTAATTAGCATATTACACTTTTATTATTATAGACTAGAGGCCCGGTGCATGAAACTCATGTAAAGGGGGAAGGTGTCCCTCAGCCCGGTCTGCACCCTCTCCAATCCAGGACCCCTCAGGGGATATCTGACTGCCGGTTTAGGACCGATCCCTCTCCCAGTCCGGGACCGCTGGCTCCTAACTGCTCACCTACCTGCCTGCCTGATCGTCCCTAACCTCTCTGCCTCGGCCCCTGCCACTGTGGCTTTGTCTGAAAGGAGGACCGGACGACCGGAAGATATCTGGTCGATCTTGTCTAATTAGCATATTACCCTTTTATTAGTATAGATAATATTGTAATTCTGTAGATCTATAGACCTTTTTGGCTCTTGAACTTGGGAATGACTTGATTAAAATGAACAGAAGGAAGAGTTGTCTGGTGGCATATTACAGGATTCACAGGAGGAGGAAAGAACTGGAGTGCAGGGAGATCAGATAGAAGGTTGTGGCAGCAATGCAGGCCCTGAAGATGGAGTGATTAGAGTCTGGAACTAGAAAACCTGGTTCCAGCCCATCTCTACCATGATGCTGCTGACTGGGGTACCTCAGGCAAGTTACAGCCACCACATCTCTGGAGCCTTCTTACTCCTCCCTAAATAATGGGTTGATAAATTGAGATGACAAAATCTCTTGGTTCTTTCAAATTCTAAAATTCTGCCTGATGCCTTTAAATTTTAATGCATTCTAAAGATTTATATATGAAGGCCCTAAATATCATCTGGAACCCAAGAAAGAATTTAGATGTCATAATTCTTAACATAGTTTTCAAAGTACAAAAGAGTAAAATTGTTTTTAAGAAGGTTTTCTAAACCAGACAAGCCAATTGTTTCTGCACCTTACTGTTTCCTTTGTTTAAGAAAATGATTTGGGTATTGCTGCCACAGCAGTGGTTGATGAATCAAATAGGAATATTACTCTGGAAACAAATGAAATGATTTAAATCCATCTCTAAGAAATGTTGGAGGCACAAATTGTATTGCTATCATATTAATTTGTTTTCTGAGCTCATATTTAATTCAAAATGTGATATTTCTTTAACTGGTCCAATCAACAGAGTTTAGAGCGATTTTAGATGGAGAACACAGGAAATAAATACAGTAATGTTGGAGCAAATAATCAACAAAATAATTGGTCTCTATTCTGTGGCTTGTGATGCTTCTAGAAAGTATTTTTAACAGTTCCCTGAGGAATTGGCTCTTGTTGAAGCCAGGCTCTTCTCTCAACTCACATCTGCAAACTTTTCTCCATCCTCATCTGCTATAACAAATCAGTGTCCAGGCTCTGCTGAGCTCTCGGCCTCCATGTTTCCTTTCTCATCTACAAAGACTTGGGGATGGGGTTTTCATTCCTGAGTTGCAGAAGGACTTCTCCTTAGAATAACCCAATAGGCAAAGGAATCTTCCTTTAATAAAGGCCATTTATATAATTAAAACCTTCTAGGATGAAATCTAAATTCTGCAGTTGAGATCCCCATCCTTACAGCCAAGCGAATGCATTCATTCACTTTCTTTAGACTTTCATCCTTCACATCTGAGAGTTTTCTCCTTGGAATGCTCTGTTCTTTCATCCAGCTCATGATCATCACCTCCTTTGATTCTATCCTGAAACTCACTTCCTTCAGGATGTTTTCCTGGTTTAGTAGCTACTTAGCAAAGAAACTCCTACTTTTGAGCTTTCAATCATATTAAATACTTTTAAGATAAATTATTTGCATCTAGGGGTAAATAACTTATAGATTTTCATTCTTTAAGAAACCACCCACCAATAAACTAATAAATAAATAAATAAATAAACAAATAAATAAATAAAAGGAAAGAAACCATCCAAACAAAATAGAAACAGCAGAATCATAGATACATAGAACTGACTGACAGCTGGGGGGAGTGGGGGGGGGTTGGAGGCCTGGATGAAAAAGGTAAGGGATTAGACAAAAAAAAAAAACAACCCCAAAAACCCACAGACACAGACAACAGTATGGTGATTGTCAGAATGGAAGGGGGCGCAGAGGGATGTGGAAGAGGGCAAAAGGGGGATAAATGGTGGTGGAAAGAGACTTACTTTGGGTGGTGAGCACAGGATGCAGTACGTAGATGATGTGTCATTGAGTTGTACACTTAAAACCTGTATGGTTTTATTAACCAATGTCATCCCAATAATTTAATTTAAAAAAAGAAAAGGAAAGAAACCACGTAGTGATTTTTTTACTTTGTGAGAGAACACTCCCAATTTTCAGTGTCTTATCCTCCCCCCTCCCCCCCAGGAATCCATACTAGACCTAGAGCAAGATGACTCTCTTTGGTGACCTCTAGTGGGCACGAGACAATCCTACAAAATTACGAAAAGTGAAGGGCAAAGTAAAACCCTTCTTAGTAACCAGCTGGGTTACTCTCAGGTCAGATGACCGCACATCCCACCCAGCTCCACCCTTATTTTTTCTTCCAGCATTTGTTTTGCATTTAACATAGTTTGCCTTACGACTCACCTGTTTCAGCTCTGCGCGGGCTGGACTGCCGGTGTCAGATGTCGCGTGAATTGCTGGGAGCAGTTTAAAACAATCCCGGCCAAGCGGAACCCATTGTCTAGGCATGGACCCGAGCAGAGCACAGGGCAATTTGCCCTGCGGAGTCTTCAGGGGTTCTTAAAGCTCCAAAGGCCGGTGCTGCAGCCAGCTTGGGGGTGCACGGGGGCAACCAAGACTTTATGAAAAGGAGGATGCAGACGAAGGCAACGAGCAACTCTGTTCTTGCCGGTGGCAAGGCGATTCTCCCCAGACTTTCACCTCACTCTACAGCAAGAGTCAGGATGGGGTCCGGGCGCTCTACCTGTAGGCGCCCTCTTAGGACCGGTGCCCCAGAAAGCGGGGGCTGGGGCCGTTCTCCTCCGCGGGAGAGTGGCACCGAGGTTGGGCGTTGGGGTGTGTGGCCGCCCTCGGAGCACACGGTACGTGATCTCCGCGCCGGGAGAGGAAGAGCAAAGTCGGCAAGGAAAGTAATTGCTGGGGTATCTTCTCTGAGAAATCAGAAACCGAGCTGGGTTCTGGATAGTTTCTGGAAAAAGCTCTCGTTTCAAACGCCGTCTGTCCCCGCCCCTCCAATCCCGCACCCCAGTCCTCACCCGTGCTTACCACGTTCCCTCCCTTTGGGGGCTGATAACGGGCTCTGGGGTACTGTCCAAGCCATCCCGATGGCCCCGGGCGGGACGCGGGAGCAGGTATCCCAGCCGCGGGGCTTGGCTCCCCCCTCCACCCGGGGGCTCCCCGCTCCTCACCTCCCCGCCCCGCGGACCCCTCCCGGCCACTGCGGGAGCGGAGAGGGAGGACGGCGTCACGAGGCGGGGAGCCCGAGGTCCAGGGCGGGGCGCCGGGGAATCCCAGCCGGAGCGAGCCCGGGAGGTGCGGGCGCGGGTGGGAAGAGGAGGGCGGCGCGCGTTGGGAGGTGAGCCGAGCGGAGCCGGGAGCCGAGGAGGCCCCGCCCCCGCCTCTCCGAGCCGGCTCCTCGCCGCCTCCGAAACCGCTCACTTTGCTTCTCGCCTCTGGACGGCGGCGGGGCGGTTGCCACATCCGCGATCGGAGGGAGCGCCGAGGACCTGGAGCCATCCCGCACCAGCTTCCCCTCTCGGCGCCCGCGCCCCTCCGGGGGAACAGCGACCCCGCCTTGGAGAGGACACCCGGGCCTCTGAGGGGGAACCTCCCGGTCGCGAGGGGCGGCGGCTCTGAGCCTCGGTACGCCAGCGGGGTGCAGAGCTGACGCCGGAG